TTTTGTGGTTAAGTAGCCTTCCTGATGGACAGGCTCCATTAAGACTTCTGGGCATGTGGTGTTAGGGTTCAGGGACAGCAGTCACCCCAGAGTAAGGCTGCATGGTCAGGCCTGGCTGAATCTTGGCCAAACTCTTTCCCTGGGGGAACGATCCCCAGATCAATTTTGGGTTCTGCTCAGGAAAGGCTTGCATGCTAGGGAGCGGCAGAGTCCATCTAATGTTTTGGGAAGAGGAACGATCTTTCATGTGATAGAGAGAAAGCCCTCCAAATGGCATCCAAAAATCTGGATTCTGGTTTTTCTTCTGATCCTAACCTGGGTGATTTTGTGCAGATAACTCAATCTGTCTGAGCCTTCATTGTCTCAACACAGAATGGAACAATACACATCTCACTGCCCAAGGTCATTCCATAGTCTGGACCAGTTTCTGGAGGTCTTCTCTAGATGTAAAATCAGTGATGCACATTTATGGGAAGGCTCCTGATCTTGTTCAGTGGTGCCAACCTTCTTCCTTAGGGGTACAAACCCTTCTGCAGAGTCCCAACCCTCCAGCCTCTCCCCCTGCCTAGCTGCCTGCTCTCTCACATACTCCTCAACAGTGAAGCCTGAGAAAATTTCTGATTGATACTAGCCCCTCTTGTTGATGCCATTTTCCCTTTCTGGGTTGGGTGAAGATGCTCAACTGGTGGCATTAGCCCTTGCACAGGAACCAGACCTCAGTGCAGGAAGGTGACCCCCTAACTGGGATGTCAGTGGCACCAGCTCTGGAACTTCTTTCCCACCTTGGAGCCTGGAGACCTTTCTGAAGCTGAGGTCAGAAGACGGGTAGAATCTCAGGAAGAGACTCAGAAGGACAAAACCTCGGGTTCATCTCCTCCACTTTCCATCTCCATATGTCTCCTGCTTCCGTGGATAGCAGGGCATGGTAACAAGAAGGAAAGAGACAAGTAGCTACTTCATAACCAATAGCTTTTGTTTTAACCATCTTGGACTGTACAAGAGATCTAGGTGTATGTTGGACTCATCTCTACCCTGAAATATTTATAGTTCTGGCTCCGATTCTCATATCTTCTCTTGATTTACTTGACCCCAAGTAAGTCCATTATCTTTCTGAATGTTAGTATCACCATTGGCAACAGAGCAGAGAACTACCTCTTTCCTTCTTGATCATCTGAAAATGATGTGGGATTAAAAAAAATGATAGAAAGAAAGAGAACTGGGACCTGTGAACAAATAATATGGTATGGATACAGAACTGGTAGCAATAATACTAGTAATCGTCACACTAGGATTAATAGTGCAAATAGCAGTAATGGCTGCTATTTATTAAGCACCTACAGTATGTCAGGTTTTGCATTAGCTACTTCAGATTCCCCATGGTTGACATGCATAGCAATCTTGAAGATGGGCATTAGTGGTCCGGTTGAGAAAAGTGAAATTCCCCACAAGATCACACAGTTCTTATGAGCAGAACTGTGCAGAACCAGGATATTGTGGTTGGCTTGGGAGCGTGCAAAGGGAGAGAACGCCTCTGGTTTAGTTAATTCTGCAAAGCTGCAAAAGCGGAACCGACACTTCCCCCCAGCCCCGCCCTGGGGAGGGGGTCAGTACATATTGTTTGGTGAGATGGGACTCGGAAAGCTCTCACTGGTGACTAATGCAACTGGATGCCAAAGTCCGGCAGGATCAGATTAGTTCGGCTCAGCTGGGCCAGTCTTCTAAATATTTTTTTCCCATGACTCAGGGATGGGGGCAGGGGGCAGGATTCTCTTCCTCTATCTGACCTTGCAAACAAGTCACTAAAAAGGAGGCTGATCTGACAGCTTCACTTCCCCCAGGGAGCCAGGGAAGAAGTGGGATTTGGGGAAAGACTCAATGATGTTAGTAATACAGAAAGCACATTTGTGGCACGCACTATATTAAGTATTTTTTATGCATGATCTTATTTAATCCCCACAACAAATATGCAGTATTTATTACTATCTCACTCCATGGAAGAAAAAAAATTGAGGCTCACAAGTTAAGTAACAATAGTAGTACTATTTAGTGCGTATACACCCAAGCTCCACATTCTACACTTCACCCCAATTAGTTCCTGATGCTCTATTTTTCCCGTGAGTACTTATCACCTTGGAACCATGGTGCATATTGTGCTTACCTATAGTTTTTGTCTGTCTTCCCACATTAAGGTGTAATCTCCTTTAGGGCAGGCATTTTTGACAGTTTTGTTCGCTATTCTATAACCAGTCCCTGGCATATAATAGGTATTCAATCAATACAGGTAAAATAATAAATTATTTCATTTAATGTTCATTATCAAATCATGTGGCAGGTATGCAAAGTATCCTCATTTTGCAGTTGCAGACTGAAATTGAGAGGCCAAACTGCTAGTAGATTGGATCCCACAAACTCATATAATTATCATTATGCAAATTGGTCCCTGCCTGAAGGCAAGAGACTAGACCTGGTGGTCTTTGGAAGTCCCTTCTGACCCTGAAATATATGTCCATGCCCCAAATGCACAGGCAGGCAAGGCTTAATAGTCTAAAGGTTTCCATTTTCCTAAAATAGAGAGATCTAAACACTACACACTAGCCTTTGGCCTGTTTTTTTAAAAAATTGTTTTGATTTGTTTTGTTTTTTAATGGTGTTAGGGATCAAACCCAGGGCTTGATGCATGCTAAGCAAGTGCTGTACCACCGAGCCATATCCCCAACCCAATACCTTGACCTCTTGACAATTTTGCATGGCCTATATGGGTCGCCTGGTTTCTGTGAGCTTGAATCATTACCTCCAAACCCATCTGTCCCCAAAACACAGTTCCCTATATTTCACCTGCCCTGCAATAAAGCTCTGAGCTGCAGGGGCTCAATCTTGGACTACAAAACAACCAGCTGAACACACAGCCTGATGCCTCATACAGGAATTATCCAGGATTGAATTATAGAAGAGATTGCACAAAAGGTGCAAAAAATATAAATGAGTCCTTAGTTAGTTCCTTTTCAGAACAGCTCTGGAAGATCAGAGCCTTCATCGCCCAGGTCAGCTGCAGCTCTGGATAGAACTGACACCCTCTGCCTACACCTGTTGTGGTCAAGCAGGGGAATGTGCTGGTGGGGTGTACGTGCTGGTGGTGGTGGTGGGGGGTGTTCTGTAAATATGCCTCTTTCCTTGTGCCAACCAAATGCAGCTTCCCCCAGCTTTCGGAAGACCAGTTCTCCAGACCCAAGAGGCCTATAAAACAACAAAACAAACAGCGAGTTTGGCGGCAGAAGCCTGGGCAGGGAGCCAAACTCATTACTAGGGATATGGTGGTGAACTCCCGGAGCACCACCCCAACTCTTCCATGCAGGCTCTGGGGAAGGGAAGGGGGCATCTGCTCCCCACTACCTCAGACTCCAGCATCGCTGAGATGACTGGGGAGCCGGGTATCAGATCAGAGGTCACAAGCTTTGGGACAGCCTCTAGATCTCCTGGAACTGGACCCACAATCCTGGCTGTTTACTCGATCAAGGGTTCACGCTGAGAAATGAGTGAATCATTTCCACCGAGAAGAATGAGTGGCTATCGTTTGGTGGGATTGGCACAGGAGAAAGGCATGTTTCTCAGCTTTTCATTCAACTTGGCCTATGGTGGGCCCAGGCAACTCCACCCATGCGGGGAGCCAAGTAACAGGTTAGCATACCCTGGGTGTTTTGGGAGGAAGTCTGACTGCCAATATCAATATTGCCAATGGGAGGTGGGGGAGGGCATATAAACTCAGGCAGGATATTTAATATCTCTGTGGCTCCTTTTCCACATCTGCACAATGGGGTAGAGATGCAAGGGATGATCACTATTGTTAGTTGAAGTTCTTTTTTAAATATTTATTTATTAGTTTTAGGTGGACACAATATCTTTAGTTTTTAAATTTTTATGTGGTGCTGAGGATGGAACCCAGTGCCTCCTGCATGCTAGGCGAGCACTCTACCACTGAGCCACAACCCCAGCCCTTAGTTGAAGTTCTTGAGGAAGATGGAATGGAGTAGAAAGATATCTTGTAAATAGTCAGCATTATCAATAGCTGAGCACTAACCCCTGGGCTTGGGAGAGGTGCAGTTTGGTGTTCCAAATGGACTTTTTCCAAGGTCCAAGCTGCTACTGCAAGAAGCTCACAGTTTTCCTGGCTTCACTTCAGTAAATCGTTTCTGAGATTACAAAGAGAAAAATAGGATGGGGACGTCAGGGCTTCCCGTGGGCTGGAGACCGGAGACTTTGTGTTGGTGGGTCCCTTAGGAAAAGGCGGAAAGAATTTTCCTTAAGAATTTCACAGGCATTCCAGTGGCTACCATTAGGTAACTGTAAAGATGGTGATATGAAAAGAAGCCAGGGCCCTCCCCAGAGCTTGGAAAGGCTCTGTGGATTTGCAAAAATGTCTAGGAATCCCATAATCAGAAGGCTGATGGGGGTCCAGTGGTTACGTGGGCCTCTGTACCTGCCTGCCTGATGCAGAGAAGCCTACGTGTGACTCAGGTGATCCGGCTGGTTCTGGGTGTTGTTCTACAGTTGACCTCTGGGCAACTGTAAATGCTCAACCAATGTTTCTGAGTACCACCCTTCTCTTGCAAATGTTGTTAACCTGAAAACAAACTCTTTCCCATAACCCACTGGAAGTTCTTCTGTTTCCTTGACCCACTCATGCCAAACCCCAGCTGACTTACCCAACACATCATAACTTCTATTGTGTGTCAACTACACATCAACAGGATCATTCTTAATATATGATTCTACTGCAATCAGTGCAAACAAGAGTCTGGCATAGAGGAGGGACCCAATACAATCAAGATCAATTTAATGATTCCCTAGTGTGTGAGAGATGTTGGATCTGGCAATGCAGATGGGTGGTATGAATAAGAAAGGGAAGGTCCTGACTCTCAAGGATCTCTGAATCTTCAGGGAAGTAGAAGTAGACGCCTTAGCAGACGCTCCCATGTCAGATGCTATGGGGTGCGTGGAGGGCGCTATTCACAGTGGGTGAAGGGATAGGGCGAAGCGCATGTCACCAGCACTTGGACAGAAGGCAAGGTGTCTAGGGTAGAGAGGGAACAGACAGCCAACAGCTCTCACTGCTGTTTCCCAGGGCTGAGGGGCTGGAAAGCAGAACACGATCCCCACTTTCTCTGAGGAGCCCTGGAAGAACTCAGGGTGCAGGCAGCAGCGGCAGCAAATGGTAAGAAGAAATCAGAAGAGCTTCATCTTGAGCCCTGGAAGAGTCCTTCCACCCATCACCCATATCTTCCACCTACTTGGCAGAGTCCCTTCCCTCCTAGGTCCCATGACCTGTGCTTCATTTGACCTTTTGATGCCTCCCTAAAACCTGGAAAGTCATATTCAGTGCTTCCAGCTCCTGTTGCCTTTCTTCCTCCATCGGCTCTGATATTAGCTCAGTGAGTCTCTCACCTGGACCTCAGAGCCCGCTCTTAGCCAGGAGGAATGTCACCAGTCAGTGGTGTCAGGTCCCAAGATACCCTGATTTCCCTTCCCTGCATTCTGCCCCAGGCCTGCCCACCCTCATCATCTTTGCCGTGCCTCACTCAGTCTGTGCCCAGCACCTCCCCCATGATCTTAAGGCCAGGTGATGTGATGCAGGAGGCCCTCTACAGCATCCCTGACTAAACATGTCCACCCACTGGGAACTCATTGCCTCTTGAGTCAACTCTTTCTATTATGGCACAATTCAGTTATAAGAAACTTCTTCCCTGCATTAATGAGAAAGTTACTTTGCTGCAACTTCTATGCATTGGCTCTGGTGTGACCTTTAGGGCCACCGTGAATAAGTCTAACTCATCTTCCACAGCTTCATGGCTAAGCATGCAGACAACCAAGATTCAAGTCCCTGCTCTGCCATTCACTTGCTAGGTAGCGCTGGACGATCTCCTTACCTTCCTCGGCCTCCATTTCCTCATCTGGAAAATGGAGGTGATAACAGCACTTACCTCATAAGAGTTATATCAAGATTGAGTGAATTGATAGATACAAAGCTCTTAAGATAGCAACTGACACATAATAAGTGCTCAGTAAATTCTATTATCTGAAGAGAGCTGTCTTATGTCCTGCTTTAGTCACTCCCTTTTTCCTTAACATCCTTTTAAAAATACACTTCACATAGCATGAGTCCTACATCCCTCCAGCCTTTGTTTATCTTCCATTTTAGTTTGATTCACACTCTTATGATGCCACCCCCACTATAAAGTGGAGTCACTGTTCCACATGACCTGGAAGCTGTTCTTCTACTAATGTGGTGATGACTAACTTTGATGAAGCTGTATTACCCAGGGGCTCACGGTGACCTTGTGGACAGCTCAAATCCCAGGGATGAGTGCTCTAAGAAGTTCTCCCTCATCTTCTACCTGTGCAAGTGCTCCAAGCTCCTCTGCACCCTCTAGACTTTCCAGGTATGCAATCTGTATATTCTCATGTGTCACCTCCTCCCTACTCCCTAGGCTCCATAGCGGCTCTTTACTTAAAAGGTGCCTAGTCTTAAAGCAGACCAGGTAATCTTCCTCTTCAACAACACCTTGCAAATTGAGCACGCGATCATTGTAGGTTTTGCTTGAGTTGTGTCTGCCTTATGGTGAACCTTTGCCTGTCTTCCTGTCCTCTGTGAAGCATTGACTTTAGCCTATGCAAGAGTAAGGTCTTATCCTTATTCTATCTATTCCTTCCACATGCTCAAGGCTCATAGGGCAGTGGCCTGGCCTGTGGTGTCTTCTATGTGTCTCACAGAGAGCAGCACGTGAGCAAATACGTGATGTAGCACCTAGGAGGATCTTGTGGTCCTGCTGCTGCTTGTGAGTCTCTGTTTCCTCTCAGCTTCCCCACTTGGGGACATCCTGTTCCTCTGGATGCTATGGATGAGGGCCCGACAGTCTGAAAGACGCCTGGCCAGGCAGGGAAGAAGTGAGTAGCTCTGACGCACCCTACTTCCCTCCCCTCTCCAAACTCTTGGCTATTTTTTTCTTTATTTTCCTTCCTGTGTTGAAAGAGCTATGGGGCCTGGACCATGGTAGGGTTTCCTGGGGACATTCCATAAATTCCTCATGGGCTGTTTCTCTGGAGAGGGTGGGGGCAAGTGGCTGAGTAAATGGGAGGCCAGCGGGAACCCGGGTGTGAAATCAGGTACCTCAAAGGAGTGTGGGTGGAAAGGAAGGGTAAGCTGCATAGAGGAGGAAGGAGGGGTATAATGAGCTCATAGCAACAGTCAAAGAGAGGACAAGAACAGTGAGAAAGAGCAGGCAACTCACAGGTTGGCACAAGCTGTGGGTGACCACGCCCCCAGCCTTGCTCTTGAACCCACTGACTTGCTTCCACAGTGACTTGTCTGCTAGGGCTCCTGTAGGGCTCAGAGAACTTGGCCAGCCTGGGTGTGTGGCTTGGAAAGATGCCAAGGAGCCCCCTGCACGTGCTGTGTGAGATGCACAGAGATATGGAGAGGATCAGCACAGGGGTCCCTTGAAGACGGGCTGGGTCATTCTTTCTTTATTCGTTCCCCATTCACCTCATGCATCCAGCCAATGCTCATTCCTTAATTCAGATCCAGGGCTAAAGAGAGTGGAGATGGTAGCCCCTGGCTGAACTCTGTAGCAAGCCTGAGCCTGAAAATGATTCCTAGCCTCCATCCCTGGGCTCCACAGCTGCTTCTTTAAGTAAAAAGGGTGCCAAGTTGGGGGTCAGGGCAAGAAGTGACTTGTCCTAGGTCTTTCTGAGTGAACAAGTCAAATTTCTTCCCTAGGAATCATTTTCCCTGCTGAGAAATGGGGGTATTGGGCAGCTATTAGGCTCTCTTAAGATTTCTTATTCTCAACAGTTTTGGAGCCCATCCCATGAGTGAGCACTTGGTGAAGCAACTAAGGAGGAAAGAGAGAATAACTATGAAGAAAGCATGGTTTTCCTCGAATAGAACTTTCGAGAGAATGAAGAAGACAAGAGACTCACACAAATAGAATCTGTACCAGCAACCAACATTGAGAGAAAAGGACAGGGGAAAGCTCTGATCACCAGCCCGTGGTGGCTTCTGCTGCTCCTTAGAAAGGCTTGGTGCAATTTAGAAAAAGGTGGCCCCTTTGGGCAGAGGAACTAGGAAGAGAAAGCTCCACTGGGCAGATGCCTAAACCACAGAGTAGATGGCAGGACAAGGAGAGCTCAGGCTGAAGTTCAACCCCCACGAGGCCTGTTGGCCCAATGCCGTGTACCAGAAGAAATTTTCCCAACTAGATGTTGTAACCCTGGCTGAGAAGGGAAGTGGCCAGCCTCAAGGGTCCAAGAGGAGCTGTGTCCAGTAGAATAGGCCACTTTTCGATCTTAGTGAACAAACAGCACAAGTCTTTCCTGTTCCCATTTTGAGAAAGCAAACCAAAGGACTTAAGTTTGTCCCCTCTGAAATGTACTGGAAAGTCAAGACAGGGTCCACAGCCCCAGGCAGAGTAGAGCACACAGAATAAGAGTAAATAGGGTCCTCCTTTTCCAAGAACCAGAGAGTTCCGGAAGGTTCAGCACCATCTCATAAGCCCAGAGCAGTTCTTGTCACCTTCTCTGTGGTGAAGCAGAACAAGCAGAACATGGAAATTCTTCCTCAGGCTCTCTCCCAGCCACCCTCCTTCCACATTCCAGACAGCAGCCCTCCCAGGTCTCTGAATGGATTAAGAGGAAGGAGCTCCAGGGGTAATGATGTCAACATCAAAAGGTGAGACACAGGAGGTTCTGCATGTGCGCTGACCCACAGGTGTTGGGACTAAGGAGAGGTAGCGGGAGGTAAACTGGGAAAAGGGGATTAGCTAGGAGCGGAAAGAACGTAGCTGCTATAATCCCACATAATGAACCGGATTGTGCTCCCTGTCCGCGCCCTAAGCGCTTGACAAGCAGGTACATGCTCCTGGCTTCAGCTTGCTGCACCAGAGGACTCCCATGCTGCCAGCCTCAGACAGCCTGTTCCCTCCAGCTGGCAGAGGCACCCAGGGAGGCACGGGATGAAATGTCTACTTCCTCCAAACTGCTCAGATCTGAGTGAGGAGATGGGGAGGGAAAAGTCTGCGACTGCAGGAAAAGACAGACGAATGGCCTCTCGCCTGGGCTTCACGCACCATCAGAGAGCAGCAACTGTCCTTTGCCCTAGCTCTTCAGAATTCAGACCCATAATGTGCTTCAACCAACTTCTTTCAGTCCTCAAATGCTCTTGACCAGCACAATCGACTCTACAAGTCCTAGCGAGGGGTTTATAATGTGGGCTATTCATAGCATACATACTAACAAAAAAAAAAAAAATCAGTTCTAGTTGATTTGAGAATGAGGAGTGATTTTTTTTTCCTCCTTAGGCAAGGTATTGTCCCCATTTCTTGAGGTTTGGCAATACTGAAATATGTTTGTGTTCCCTAGACATCCACTGACTGATGGCCAGAGGACACAGCCAGAAGATGAGCCACAAAATTGACCCCTGCCTATCTCTCTTTCTACCCTGTTTCCCCCAAGAAAATGGAGAGGTGTTTGTAGTTAAATCTTTGCCAACAGCCACCTTCCAGAAAAGACCCTCTGCTGAGGGGCGGAAGGGCATCAGAGCAGTCAAGCTCACAGACTCTTACCTTCTTCAGTTTGCCACTCTTGGTGCCCACAAAGACCACACTGTAGCCATTGTAAACGTAGGAGGCCACGGAGGTCATACGGTCCCGACTGGTGGTGTAGAGGGTCAGCCCCTCCACTGGAGTGGAGCCTCCGAGGGGCTGATTGATGTCCAGTCCACAGAAGTTGTCATCGATGGGGACCGGCTGGAAGGGAAAGGAGTTGGCATGAAGAACAGTGAAGACATGGCAGAGTCACTTCAAATTATCCCCATTTTTAGTCGCCAGCCAGAGGCCACTCAGCCTCACACAGTCACAGGCATGGGGCTCCGGGCTGTAACACATGCTGTGAACCAAAGTTCTTCACAAACTGAGCCACAAATTTCATGCATGCTGGCTCTGGTGGCATCAGATCATGAGCAGTCATCTTCATTCACCTGGAGTCACCTGTACCCACCCTTCTGCCAGGAGAAGCAGGCTCCATTTGTAAAGTTTATTGCTTGAATTCATTTTCTTGTGATTTTAATGTCCCTGTGGACCACATCATTCTGTGACCCTCTTTCTATTTTAGACAAGGGTCTCCTCAGTGGACATTAACCCTTAAGGTAACATAAAAAAATTTCTACATCCTGGAGAGAGTCTCTCTCTCTCTCTCTCTCTCTCTCTCTCTCTCAAGCTCATGTTCCTTGAGACACATCTTGAACCACTCAACTATCATTGCTATCTGCTACCCTGGGAATACTTGGCAACTGTCAAAATAATATTGGACACCGCCTTCTACTTTGGAACAAAGTAATCAACCAAAGTCTTAGTTTCTTCATTTGGAATAATATCTTCCCATTTTTTTTTTCTGGTAGAATGATGGAGGAACAAATGAAATAATGCACTTGAAAGAATTCTGCTAAGTTATATAACCATTTCCACTATTGTACATTATAGGTTAGTGTTTGGGAAACAAAACTTAAAGATAATTTTTCCTACCACCAACCTTTTAAAGGGAGTGGTGGTGTGCTGGTATAAAGAGTATTTGTCGGGAGGGACTGGGTCATCTTTGAAAGATCACCTTCAGCAAGTAAAAAAAGAAAATCTGTGGGACACAAGTGGGGAGACCTAGATCCCTGTTCTACTGCTAACTGGCTGTGTCATCTCAGGTCAGCAGCATCCTATTTTGGAGGCATTAAAAGGACCATGAAATGAATGATTTTTAACATTTCTTTCAGATAAGGAATGAATGAATGAACGAATCAATCAACCAATCAAAGAAGGAAAAGAGGCTGCGTGCTTCCTGAGGGCAGGGCTCATGGAAGAGTTTGCATTCTCTGAACCATGCCTGGCATGAGCTGGGCCCTGATGGGTACCCTGAGACACCCCAGTTGTCTGCACCTCATAGAATCTTGTGGAAAGACTGCAGAATATGGGTCTGAAAGAGGCCTGAATCTTGGGGCAGCTGCTTCTTCCGGGTCTGGAAAGGTGGAGGAAGAAAAGAGAAGACAGAAAATGGCCATCTGGAGAAGCCCAGAAAGCCTCAAGGAGATGCTTGCCCTGTATTCCCCTCAAACGCCTTTTCTCACCCTCACCAGGGAAGAGCGGCTGACACATCACTTGTTGACAGCCTCATTTCCTTGGAATAATTGGTTTATAAGCTACAGCATGTGATTTTTTTTTTTAAGCCAGGGACTTCCCTTCCATTCTCTTCTCCATTCCCAAGGGAATACAGACTTATTTATTTCTTGTGGTTCCTTGGTGTTTTGTAGAGATCAGCTGCTCTTGCTACTAGTAGGAACGATGGAGCAGTGGTGTATTCTTTAGGACAGGAAATCAGTTTTTAGGTTAAGCATGACCTTGAACTCTGGGCAAAATGGAGCCCCCACACAGCGGAAGGAATGAGCTTCCTGGGAAGAAGACGCAGCAGTGACATGCTGGTGCCAGCTCACAAGAGATGACTGTGTGCATTTCTGCATTCGGTGACATTGTGTTGGTGCTTGAAGTCAGCCATGGTGGGAATATTTACACCATGGGAAACTGGCAAATGCTGCCAACGAGGGCTTTTTCTCCCTGCTCTGCCTGCATAGAGCCAGTTATTTACTATTTACCAGTATATTACTGGGCCAGTGATAGAAACTTCTAGCTCTCTACAAAGGCTGATGGTGTCGTCAGTCACTATCTTTTACACTATCTGTTTCTCCTTTTCATCCTACACAGTAGGCAGTAGCTGCGCTGGTAAAAGTTAGCCGATCCACACTGTAGTCCTGTCTTTATTGCTACCCAGAGGCATGACCTTGATATTACATGTAGACTCTCAGCCTCAGTTTTCTCCTCTGTAAAGTACAAGGACTGGACCAGTGGTCATCAAACTTCCTTTTGGCTCCAAGTCCTTGATTTCATGACTTTGGCTTTTTTCCTGTATGTTCTCCAGAAGCTTGTAAAACTACAGAGTCTGAGCACAGTTGTAACTATTGAGAAATAAGATACCGAAGCAAAACCAAAACAAAACCCTGGTAATTGTGGATTTCTCTACATTCTTCCTGACTCTAGAATCTCTAGCTTCGTAAATGAAATGGTTTGTACTGAGGCCAAACCCCTGGGATTGGCTGGCGTTTCTTTCTCTCCTCTATTTCTTTCTCAACACATTGTTAGATATTCCCAACCACCTGATGCTCCTTTACTTTTGCTCAAAATGATGAGAGCTTGAAGTATGACTTTCCTTAGAGGCGGGGCGGCTAAACAGAGCTTGAACTCAAAAGTCATTTGGAAGGAACTGAATTCAAACTCCTGCTTTATTGTTTGGAGTTATATGGATTCAAGAAATTTGTGTAGTCTACTGAGTCTTTGTTTTTCCATCTGAAAAATGGAGATGAGAATTCTTGCTTGGTAGGGTCATTGTAAAAATGAAGTGAGCTAACACATAAATGGCCCAGCACAGCCTTTAGCATATGGCTGTTATTCCCCGAGTGACAATCCCTTTCCTCACACCTTTTCTGAAGGTAAAGCTCAAATTCTTGACCTGAAAGTTCGATGGTAGTTCAGAGATCATTTAAAGCTAAATTCTGGGATTACAGAATCTCTGGTTGATACTTAGCCCCGTCAAAGACCAAAAAAATACCTCTGGATCCCCAGTTCTGGGTTGCTTTTGATAAGACAGACCTGTAAGGGACACTTCCTCTTGCATACCTGCTGTTAAGGCCACACCTAGAAGGTATGACCCAGAGGCTGAGGGGTGGAAGGTGAGGGGCTATTCTCTCTGAGGTTTCTGGTCCCTCTGCCGTTACCTCTCTACCACTGCCTTTGCTGTCCTTTGGTCACTAGCCCGGGCTTGTCTCTCTGCACCACCACTGGAGCAAAGCAGGGTGTCGTCTTCCTCTTTCCTCTGGCTCAGAAGCATGCAGGAATCAGCAGTTTCCTCCTGACAAGACCCACTCTGGATTATGGGAACCTGGCTGGACTCTGCATGGAATTAACCCTTGCATCTCCTCTCTGCTTCTCCTGATAGGTTAGGGACATTGATCATAACGTTTCAGTTGGAGATTATCTGGTCCAGCTTCCTCATTTTATAAAAGAAAGATAAGTAAGCAAATAACTGGCTCTTTATTATTATGATTAGAATTAATAATCATAGCTGCCCACTTGTTAAATAAATGCTCATTATGTGCAAGGTATTGTACTGTGCATTTTATGGGCATTTTCTCTTTGATCCTCATAATAACCATGAAAAGGGGGTAATATTATTTCTATTTTGAAGATGAAAAAAAATTATGGCTCAGACCAGGTACCTGACTTGCCCAAGGTCACATAGGGCATAAGTGGTAAAAGTAATTTTTAATCTCATCTGCTGGACTTCAAAGCCTATTGCCTTAACCCTTATCCTAGAGGATCGAACACATTAAGAGAGGAACAGAAGCCTAGCTGGGACCTGGTCTGTATTCTTTCTCCAGAAGTGGGTTTTGGATGTAATAGCAGGCACCCTCAATTCCAAGTACTCAGAAGACAGTTGTGTGCCTCAGTCTCAGGTTATTTCTCCAGCTGTAGATGCAGAGACCAAAGCCCTTTGCACAGAAAACTATTTTTAGCACTTGACATACCCTCCAACTGTTAACTAACATGCCAGGCATGGTGTTAACGTTGTCATATATTTTCTCATCTGATCATCCCATGAGATGGACAACATGCTCCCCATTTCACAGATCAGAATCTAAAGATGTTAAAGTTACTTTTGAAGCAGGAAATAGAACAGATAAGATTTGAACCCTGGTTTTGGTTACAGAAGCCCAAACCCTTGATCACTACATTTTGTCAGTCCCCCCCCCCCCCGCCCTCTCTTTCTCTATCCATTTCTCTCACTTGATTTTGGATTCTGAGAGAGTGGGGATCATGGTTTTTTTTTTTTTTTTTTTCATGTTTGCATCTCCAGTACCTAGAACAGTGCCTGGAACTCAGATGATTTTCAATACCCTTTGTTAAATGGATGGAAAGATGGTAGATGAATGAATGATAGAAGGGTATAGAGATGGAGAGAAGGAAGGCTACAGGAAGGGAGGGAAATAGGAGAGATGGATGAATGGATGGATGGACAGATTAAGAGATTAAGGGAAGCAGAAAGGGAAGAGAAATGGAGAGATGGAGGATAGATGAATGGAGAGAGAGAGAGGGGGAAGGGGGAATGGATGGATGCAGGGATAAGTGGATGGAAGGGATGGTGGATCACTTTAATGGTAGCATCCTGACTCTCTGACAAGTGCTTTATTTATTTGTTTGTTTGTTTATTTTTGTCTCTGATTTTCTTGTCTCTGCTGTCTTTATGTTTAAATCTTGAGGACAGCCTTCTCATCCTTTGCACGGACTCCTGATTTTTCTTTTTCAGTTTTCAAGCTATCTAGTTTGATTTCTTTCCTTCTCCTCTGACTCAGCTACCCAGTGCCCCCTCACTTGGCCCCCACAGTGGCCAATTGCCTGCATGTACACATGGGGTCTCATTCCCTCTGTCCAGCCTCACATACTGCTCTCTCTTACTTAGCTAATCTGGCTGCAGTGGCCTCCTTGCAAACACTCCAGACATGTCCTGAATTCTTTTACTTGCTACCCCCTCTCTGGAACACTTTCCCCAATACTTGCTTGGCTCCCTCTCTTCCCTTGCTCCGTGTTTGAGGATTCTCAGTGAGTCAATCCTCTCAGCTAATTACTTTCTCCCTCTCCCTTGTTTGATTTTTTTTTCCCCCTACAGCAATGATCATCATTTCGCAGACTGCAAATTTATGTGTTACATCTTGTTCTCTAGTAGGTAAGCTTCACGAGGGCAGGGAGCTTGATTGTATGGCTCACAAGCACATAAAACAGCACCTGGAATATACTTGGAATTATTTAATGAACTGACAAGTCCCAAGTATCTGGGGTAAGCAAGACCTTGGGTTATGGGTTTGATACTACTTGATAATCTGAGCCTAACAATCTTTCTCATTTATAGCCCCTGGAAGTTTGGAAAAGGGGTTTGCAGAGGGACATGGAAAGCAAAGGCAGAGCCCCATGGTGAACAATGGGGAGCAGAGGGGAGGGGGCACCTCCTTACCGCTTTGGTGCACTGCACATCTTTCCCCAGCAGCCAGTTGAGCTCCAAATTGCCCTCGCCCTGGTAGCAGGACTGCAGGCGCTCCTTGATCTGCAAGTTGATGGCCCGGATGGGGAAGGCACAGAGGGCGGAGTCATCGGGTGGATGGTGATACTGCTTCTGCCCTTTGGAGAAGATGGCGAAGAGCACATCATCCTGGCTGCTGATGTTGAAGGCCTGGGCTAGCGCATCCCCGGGCTTGGCGAGGTAAGCAGCCTGCAGGAGGCGGTATTCCACCCCTGCACGTGTGCAGCCGAAGGGCAGAGACACGTAGGAGTGGAACTTGGGGTCATCCTTGCAAAGACGCACGATACGGGAAGTGTAGAAGAGGTCCCCGGCGGAATTGATGGCCACACCATCGGGGGTCTCGGGCTGGACAGTGAGAAAGTAGACGAAACCCCCACTGGCGAAGCCATAGATGTAGAAGATGTCAAAGTGGGAGACCAGGGCCAAGGTGTCAGAGGGGATCTTAATGAGGGAGGAGACAAAATCGCTGTGGAGCTCATAGTCCAGCATGGCCGAGGACTCAGGGTCGCGGGGCAGCTTCCGGCTGGACAGCGTGGGGAAGTAATCCTGCTTGCCGTCCACCGCCGTGCCGATGAAGAGCTTGCCGTCCTCCCCCTCGGAGCGCACGATCACTCCGTACATGGTGCCGGTCTTGTTGACGCTGGACAAGTAGTGCTCCTTCTTGTGGGATGGCTCCACCAAGATGAAGAGGTCATCGAGACGCAGCAGCTTGCAGACGCCCTGGTAGAGGCTGCCACAGGCCAGCAGGCGGTTCTCGGAGTAGTCGATGATGAGCAGCTTGTTGACGTTGTTGGTGAGGGTGAGCACCTCGCTGCAGGGCTGCACAATCAGGGGCGGGTAGCAAGACTTGTTGTCCTCCTCCGGCCCTGTCTTGTGAGCCACCTGGATGGTCAGGTTGCCCGTTAGCTTGTAGACCCGGTTGATGGCCCCCACATACACCGCCCCTGTCCCGCGGTGCACAGTCAAGTGATTGAAGGTCCAGTCTCGGTTCTCCGAGTGGAAGGTGCTGAACTGAGGCATGCCGGCTGCTGGGGGGGCCAGCAGCACCCAAACCACTGAGAGTAGGACCACAGACCGGCTGTCAATCTGTGAGGCCCATGGCCAGGGCCTCCTCTGTTCCATCCTGAGAGGGGCAGAGTGGAGGAGACCACTCCTCCGTGTTCTTCTACTCCACTTTCCTGGCTTGGCCCTCACATGGTTCTGGAAAACACAAGGCAGAGTGAGTGGTCAGACTGACAATAAGTTGCAGGGGAAGTGAATTGGATTGCTTGACCCAGGGTCCCAGCCCTGGCTAGCTCTATGAGTCTCTTCCTTCTGTATGTCAGTTTTTCTATTTTTAACATACTTTTTCCCTCTTAGGGATGTTCAGGGAATCCTATTATCTATTTTGGTCTCCAGCCTTTACGCTGTAAAATACTTTTTTTTTTTTTTTAACTTTACAAAGCATCTCTATTTCTGTCCTCTGAAGACATCGTTTTATCTCTCAGAGAGGTTAAAAGACTGCTTAAGTTCACCCAGCCAGTCAATGCCCATGTCAAGACTGAAGCCAGTTTTCCCCACCCAATTGTCAGGTCTTACCCCAGGCGAGTAGGCATCTCTCCTGGTTTTTAAAAGCTTGTTAGGAAGCCCTCCTCCCTCCTGTTCTCCTAAGAGTCTGATATCACAAATAAAATTCCTTCTTATTTCAGACTCCCATTGCCTCACACTGCTGTGCTTTTTTACTTTCACCCTGAGTGACGATGGTGCCCTTCTCCAGAAAGGAGCCTCCTCTTCGGCCTCTTCTCCAGAAAGGAGCACCCCCGATCTTTAGCTGTTAAAACTCGTTAGGAAGGGAAAATATGCTGTACCCAGTAAGACTGGGATTCTCATAAGTGCTGTTCAGGAGCCTGAAAAGCCTTCAAGGGAAGGTTAGCCAACTCTCATCCCTTTGACTAGAGAATGTGCAGCCACTGCCTCCCAGGAGCTGGGTGGCCAGGTCCTGGGGACACTTTCAACTTCTCAGCAGGTGGAAACACGGAGAGCTGGCCTTGCTAAAGGGTCTGGCTATCTGGGTCCAGCTCCAGTCGCCTGGGATAGGAGCTCTGGGTTGGGAACATGCGAGGAGTAGCAGAGAGAGGCAAGCTGAGATCAGTCTCATCCAGCCACATAGAGGCCTCCCAAGTGCTCAGGCATCCGTGAAATCAACACTGGGCCCCAGTGGCCATGCCCCAAGCCCTGTCTCCAGCCCTGACTGCTTGACTCCTGTCTGCATTCCAAGGAAGCTGCCCAGAGAGCTGGGTAGGGCTCCAGAGGACAGCCTGCAGAGACAGTCCCCCACCCCAGGCAAGAGGGTGGGAGGGCAGAGAGTGGAGCCAGTGGTGATCACGCTGTTCCTGACTTTCAGGGAGAGGGACTGTGGCTGCATGGCAGCAGCACCAGGAGGAGGAAGCAGTGAGCCGTGTGGCAGAGAGATCTTTTCTCCAGCTGGACAGATCACCCGGCAACCTCCTCAGACAAGTCCAGACAGAACTCTGGGCACAGGAGGAGGCAGGAATGGAAATGGTCAAGCAGGGGATGGAGGATTTGCTCTGAGGCAGCTTAGGAGAGCCCAATCTGTCCCTTCTATTCCGCAATCTGGCTGGACTGGGTTGTCAGTAGAACAGACACCACTCTGAGAATCCCTACCAGTTTTTTCTGTATGTATTTAGAAATTCCTCTTCCTGCTCCTCAACTTTGTATCCGAGACCTGGCAGCCACCATGGTGCCAGGGGAGGTCCCACCTAACTAACTGCTCCCTCTAACTAGACTCCACCGGGGTGTTTTGGGGTGACTCAGGAGGCCTCGTGCTTCCTTGGAAAGAGGAAGGCAGCAGGAGACTCAGGCTGACCTCAGCTACTCCGCCACAGCCCTTCCGGCCCCACGCGCACACACCACACGGGCAAAGGCTCCCAATAGACACAGCTTTCGGTTTGAAAACCAGAAGTTATTTTTAGCTATGTCCTGAGGCCGGTAGCAGGACGTGAATTCCTCAAGAGGAGCTGCGGAAAGGAAATAACAGAATCCTCAAATTCTCCAGCTGGACAGGGAATTGCAAGAGATGGTTCTTTGTAAATCTCTCTCCCTGGGTAGGAAAGTTTCTTTAGCTACAGGTGGAGAGTAGTGCCCCACCAGGAGTGGTGAGAAGGAGGCTAATTGTCAGCACACTGTGCCTGGGGTTTTGCATTCAGGAAAGTGTTCTCTGAAACACAACTGCACTGAATTTGTGCAGAGGATAATCCTGCTTTCTCTACAACATACATGCACACAGGTGTTTAGCTTGTGTGTGTGCAGGGGAGGGGTCCTGGTAGTGGAGTTAATATCAAAGAACATGTGTGAGGTTAAAATCAATCATCTCACCTCCCTTCAGAGTATTCTCTCAAGATATAGCTTAAATAGTGAGTGGCTTTTGTTGTTAGAATTGGGAACAAGTTTGGGACCTTGGGCAACTCGAGCCTCATCTCCCTTTCTGGTAGAATGGGGATAATTACAGTACCTAGCTCTCTGGACCTCATGAAAGTTAATGTGATAATGTGGAGAGAGCTTAGCATGGCTGCTGATACACAATGAGCACTTCACTCTTATTAGTTGTTATTATTATCATTGAAAGCTCCCAGAGAAACAGCACTTTAGAAATCCTGCCAGAGCGCTCCTTCTCTTTTTGATTATATTTATTCTTCCTTCCCATGGGATGAGCATTATGAGTGGATCTTGGCTCCACACCCCTCCCTGACCAGGGTCAGAGCTCAATCTGGGAAGCAGGTGGCAGGAAAAGGGAAGAGACTCAAGATGATCACCTCTGTCATACTACTTGCACCAGTCCCAATATAGCCTCACCATAGACTTCAGGGAGGCTGGTAGAAGTGCAGGACCATGGCAGCTGGACTGAGAATAGGACACTTGGCCTGATGACTAGAAAGCATGGAGTCACAGGGCAGGAGGAAGACTGGAACCCTGAGTTAATCTGTGCCTGTTGTCATTCATGAATTGTACCTGTGGCTTTAGACTGATCTAGCATCTCCCTGAGCCCTATTTCTTGATCTTAAAACAGAGTATGTTGAATTAGTCAATCTGTAAGATTTCTTCTTCCAGAAGAAATGAGGACTTGAGGCCTGGTTCCTTTAGTGCCTGGAGTCTCAGATTCCGGTAGCAGCTACAGTCCTTCTCTCCTACCTGGTGAGGCTTATTAGGCTAGGTGTCCTCAACAGATGGCTACAGTTTGCCCCTTTTCCTCTCACCCCTCTAGCAGCATCTGTTCTGGGACACTCTGGTGCTGGTGACCAGCCAGGGAATGCATCCCACAGGGCCCAGTGACCACCCACTCTGGGACAGCTGTTGCTCAACATAGAATAGCCAAGAGGAGGGATGCTCTCGTGCTGTGGCAGGTGGAGGGGAGGTTTGCAACCCACCTTGTTGAGTAAGAGCTTCACAAGGACAGTGATTGCAAGACCAAGAAAGAACCTCCTTATTACCATGCCAGAATTGATGTTATCAAGTGAGTCTTCTAAAACAAGGCTCCAGGGACAAGTGTCAGGCCTCCTGTGTGAGTTCAGAGTCAGTGAAAGGATGCCCACCTTAGTGTCTTTGATGCATGATGGTCACAGTTAAGTGCAGGAGCTCTGGATTTAGATGCTGAGATTCAAACAGAGCTATAGCTTTGTAAACGTGGTCAAGGTACTTGGCCATTCTGTGATGCCATCTCACTGCCTATCAAAATGGGTTTAGTACCAGCATCTGCCATGCAGGATTATTAGGATGAAATCAATGAACATCTATAAAGAGCTTAGAACAGTGCCCAACCCATTTTAAGTGTTCAGGATATACTAGCTTTTATTATTAGCAAGTATGTGTTGATATTTCCAGTTCCTCTCCTCCATCCACCCCATGATCTGTCTTAGAATGAATTTCCATCCTCAGTTTGGTAAAAGCCAGGGAACATACATCATGACCTCATGCACCTAGCATTTCCTCGTAACCCCTATTTTCTGCTAGCACCCGCCTCAGGGTTTTCTTTTTAATAACAATGCCCTCTTCGATCACATCTTCTCTCTCTGTTTAGCTTATGAAGTCACTTGTCACATGCATTCTCAAGAGCTGAAACTGGCCTAGCTTCTGTTTTTCTATCAACTTCCCTCTCCCCCACGGCTATTCTCAAACCAGGACATGCTGCTTTGGGACTCTCACCTTATCTGCAGAGCCTCCCATTGCATCTTAGAATGCTCCCCATGCCAAGGAGAAGGCATGTTTGCCTCTTTGGGAAGCAAATGCCATTAAATATTTTATTGGGAGGGCCTGATGACACCATCTCCCTCTCAGGATCCAGGAGGCAGGTGTTGGTGACAGCCAGTGAAGCCATCTGATCCCTTCCTGATCAGCTGCTGCAGGCATCAGGGGCAAAGCACAGGGGAAATGACAATCAGCCATTTGCAGTTCAGCTCAGTAGAAGGTTCTCTCTGCCACCCTGTTCTGAAGCTTTTCAGAAGGTCTAGGTGTTGGTGTTCCACGTTTTACTCATTAGGAATGGAGCTGGGGGCAGAGTAGGGCTCAGAGTTGGATACAGTTCTGCCAGATTGAGCTACAAGTTCACACCTTGGGACCCACCTGTAGACCCACCATCACCACTCCCTCCATTGCCATCACCGCTGTCACCACCATCATCTTCTCCAGCACCATCAAAATGGTAGCAGTAAAGGTGTCGATTACTATTACTGCACTTATGGGTGGGGACCAAAGCCAGGATCCTGAGGAGCCAGATGGAGATGGGGAAAACTCAGCATGAAAATGAGGGCAGAGAGATCAGAGAAGAGTTGGAAGCTGCTCCTGGAACCCACGGACCTCCTGCTTCTCTGTGGCACAGGGAAGTCCATCGTCTTCCCGGCTCGCCTTTCTAACTAGCTGTGCCTCTGAGCAGGACTTTGGGGGGTGGGTGCTGGATGGTTAGGAGATTACTCCAACTCACCACTTTTATTTTTTCAGATGAGGAAATCAAAGTCTGTAGAAAGAAAAATCAATTGTTCAAGGTGACTCAGAATGAGTCAGGGACAAGTTGCAATCAGAACCCAGACTTTTGTGACAAGAAATCTGGGACTTACTTCCTCCATCCTAGGTGGAAGGGTCCTGGGAGG